CTGACTCATTTTGTGATACACTGGTAGCTCGGGTGAGCTAGACCATAGGGTCCTGGAGGGGCAGAAATGTAAACTGGAGTCAGAATTTGGTGGGCCCCAGACATTGGGCTGAGGAGGTCATACGACTGTGCCCAGAAGATCCACTCAAAGGCAAGGGAGAAATGGAACCAAAGGGATTTTTGGTGATGGGATGAAGAGAGGTGGAGCAGCAAAGAGACCAGGGCTGCTAAGTAGATGATGTGTCTAGCAGAGCAGTGATGGGAGGAACGGGGAAGAGAAATGGGATGGCCAGGTCAGGAGGAGAGACTCTAGCTTTCAGAGAGTTGACATCCAGGGCTGGAAAGATAATCAAGGGTGCAGCTGAGGATACAGAGCAGATCTGGAGGAGTAACTGTGCTGGAGATTCCGATTTTGAAGCCAACTGCACACAAGTATTGCTGATGCTGTAAAAGAGGACGGTGGTGCTGCCAGAGAGTGGGGAGGGAGAAGGCTGAAGAGGGTCAAGGACAGAGCAACAAGTGGGTATTTAGGGAGTGGGAGGAGCAACAGAAGCCTGGCAGGGAGGAATGAGAGCCAGGGCTCCCCAGGGTTACCAGAGCCCAGGGAAGGTTTCAGGAAGGACTGTGGGCACATAGTGTAGACGTGGGCACACAGTGTAGATGTGTGCACACCAGAAGAGTGCAGGACAGGATGGGGAAAGGGTGGAGGGGGCAGAAGTAAATGGATGCAGGGCGAGGGGCTGAAAGAGGGGCAGATGTGCTCAAGTCCTGCAGGAGGGGTCTGCCTTCTCTGTTCATTCCCAGAGAGGCGCACAGGGAGACAGGAAAAACAGTCTGGGACCAGTGGCGGCAGCCACCACAGACCCCAGATCATCCAACCCAAGCAGGGGACTGGACATAGTTAGGGCAGAGGGGGGTGGCACCTAGATTTTCTTCAACTGTCTTCTCAGTGTGCCACGTGTGTCCTGGTCTATCTTCTCAACTGGGCTAGAAACTATTCGAGGTCAAAAGCTGATTTTGTTTTCCTAGTATCTGTCAAAAGCAGGTATGATTACCTTTTGTCAAATGAATAAAGAGCTAAATAAAAGAAATGCAAAAGACGGGTTTGTATGCAGAAGCCCATATCCCCTGCCACCACACGAGGGAAGAGACCCAGGATCTGCACTACCCAGCTACTTGAACCCAGCACCTCTGGACCCCTGGGAAGACAGGGGGTGTGGGGTGTGGTGGGTTCTGCCCTTGGGCAGTCCCAGGCGGCTGTGGCTCCAGGACTTACCTCTTACTGTCCTTCTCTCAGGGCTTCTTCCACCTTGGGCACCTCCTGCCGCTTTCCGCGGAAGTCTTCATCTAAAATGCAGAGGGACTGCCTCATCGTCCACCCTGCAGGCCTCACTCAGGATGTCCCCAGGATGCACAAGAGAGCGACCCTGACTCATTCTGCCCTCTCTGTCTGATGGGACCCGTGCTAATTCCCGGGTGGCCAGTGCTTGGGTCTGATGAAAGAGGCAACGGGACATCGGGGGTTGGTCTGACTCATCACTGAGCTCAGACTTTGGACAAGTTCTTTCCTCTTCTTTGGGCCTCACTTTCCTTATCCATAAAATGGGATGGGGAAGTTGGACTATCTAGATGACCTCTAAGGTCCTCTAGTCCTTCTTTCTAAGCCCCAATGGCATGGGGTTCAGCTGTGTGCAGCCTGGTAGAGTCTGAGCAGGGTCCTCTGGCCCCTGTGGCATTTGGAAGGGACTTAGTAAAAGCTGAAAAGTCTGTGGGCCCTCAGACAAAAGCTGCCTAGTGCTCGGTTCTTCATGTGGGCAGTCCTGTCTGTTCCCTCACACTCTGGAAATACTGCCCAGAATATTCCAGTGCCTGGTGCTTTGTGCTATAGGTAGAGACAGGTGGAAGAGGGGCTGGATCCCCTTTCAGGGACTGTAACAAGGGGCAGGCATTGTGCACCACCCTTCTTTGGATCACCTGCCCACCAACTTTTGATGTGTCTGTCCCCTGGTTGGGTGCCCCCTCCCTGACATGGAACACCCAGGCTCCTCTTGTAGGGTCACCCAGCACAGGCAAGACAGAGCTTAAGGGTCCCCTCCCTGCCTCACCACAAGCATGGCCCTCCACGTCTTCCAGAAGATTAGCTGTTGATGCAGCAGCCCCCAGCCTGTCCAGCTGTTCAGGAACACAGTCCCAGAGATGACAAGTACTGCCACACCCCATCCCATCCCCAAACCCCAGAGGCTTATACCTATCTCTCCTACCCCACAATACCCCAGTACTGCTAGTTCCTTTCTTGGGCATCAGCTGAGCAACCAGGCCCCAACCCTCTCATTTTGTTCCCATCTCTGGGAACAGGAGAGCAACTTTCTCTTTGCTCCCCTTTTGCTGTTTAGCTTTTAATATCCTGGGCCCTGTTTCACAAGAAAGGATGGGAGTTTAGGTAAAAATGTGGAAAAAAATTTTTCTTTTCCCCTAGTACTAGGGATTGAACCCAGGGACACTTTACCACTGTGCTACCTCCCTGCTCCTTTTAGACAAGGTCTATGTTAAGTTGCCCAGACTGAGCTTGAACTTGTGATCCTCCTGACTCAGCTTCCCAATTCATTGGGATTGCAGGTATGCGCCATCATGCCTGGCTTGAATTACTTAATTTCTACTCAAGGAACCAAAAGTGAGAAGGCAACTAAGATGAGGACACAGGAGGACTGTGGACCAGTTCAACTAGAGAAATTAGGAAAAGGTTTGCTCATTTCAAATGAACTCAGTGATTCAATTTTTCTCCCAAGGAGAACTTTCCACAGAGGGAAGCCCAAAGCCACTCCCCCACTCCCCACGTCTGGCCCCTGGTGTTCCAAGTGATGGGCAGCCAGGTGGCGGCCTGGCCCCCAGAGCTAAAGGGAGGCTACAAAGCCAGGGCCCACTCCTGGGGAGGGCAGAGCCTGGGGGAGTCCAGCTGGGGTCTCAATCAGGGCCTTTGGCATCCACCACACCACCCAGAGCCAGGCTGGAAGGATACGATGGATGCTTCGGCAAGTGCTTCCTCTTGGACTTCCTCATTTTGGTCTTCTCGGAGAAGGCCCGGGCCAGTTCAAACAGCTTCCTCCGGGTGGCTGGGGCAGAGAGACTTGTGAGCTGTCTTTTTCTCTTGGCATCCAGACCACCATATGGTCTCCTCCCAGGCCTGAGGGAGGCCAGGCAACACCAGCCCCCCTCCCTCCCACTGGGGTGGAAGCTGGAGAGAGGGAGGTGACAAGAATCCCAGACAGGAATGCCACCTCAGGAGCAAGGCTGCCATCCCAGGTCTGCCTGCAGGGGCAGCACAGGCCACCAAGAAACAGGCCCGGGCCAGCCAGCAGTCCAAGATCCGGGTATTCCTGCCCTGGCTTTGACAGACAGCCACGCATCTTGGCTTTCTTTTCTGCCCACGGCCCCTGCGCCTGCCTTTCCACCCTCCCCTAGCCATCACCAGAGTCAGTCCTGGAATTTCCATGACTAATCCGAGATTTTCCTTGAAATAGAGCCTAAAACAATCTTCATTCACACGGGTTGTGGGTCTTTATGGTGGGGAGGTGAGGGACATGGGGACATTCAAGATTGGCAGGACTTTGTGGAACAAGGTCTGAAGGTCTCCCACTGCCACAGAAAGTGGGCTTAGGAAGGGCCTCCCCGTGCCCCGCCCCCCCCATCAGACCCAGCCAAGTGGCCGCAAGCCACAGAGAATGTGAACAGTGACACTGGGTGAGGGGATGCGCAGCACATTATTTTTCTGCAGACAGCTGGCTCAAGAGGATTTAAACTTAATTTGTCTCTAGACTCAGCTGTAGAGGGAAGTGAGGTAGGAAGGCTGAGAGAGCCAGGCTGCGATTAAAATGTCACTTCAGTTCACCAAGAGTCAGCAGCACTAAAAATTCTGGTGGGGGCTCCTCCCCCCCCCCATTAGGCCACAGGGCCTGCCTCCAAAGAGCTGGAGATGGGAGGGGACGTGGGCTAGACTCACATTTTCCCATGTGCTTCAACTTGTCCCTGAATAAGGCATCTTCAGACACAGCAGGGTTGGCATCACTGGTTCCTGGAAGGAGGAGACATGCTGAGGGATGGGCCCCCTTGGGTTTCTCAGGTCCCACTGGAGAGGGAGAGCAAGCTGCTACCAAGGCCCTGCAGCTGTGGGTCAGGGCTATTGCAGCCCTATCTTTCCATTTTAGCAATGATGCAGGTTTCTTCCTTGCCCAGGAGGGAGTTTAAAGCAAGGAGGATTTGGGGGGGTTCTCCTTTCTCCTTGTAAGCCGTGTTTTTCTCCTCTGTGAAAATGGGGGTACTCATGGTCTGCTGTATGTATGGAGAGCCAGATGAAACAGGGTCCTGACTATCCACTTCTCTGACAAATTCCATACTGTGAAGTCATGTTGGAAGTTTGAAATGAGTAGTGGGGGATGTTTACACTATGGGGGTCACCCAGCATTGCAAACTGGGCTGCCACTGCACACATTCAGCAGCTAACTGGGGGACTGCCTGAATCCTGACTTGGGTATGAGTCAAAGGAGGAAGAGCACAGCCCAGAGTGCCTGGGGAGATTCCTTTTGTCCTTCCAGAGTCAGCCTCTCCAGGATACCCTCACAGACACTTAGCAGGAATGTGAATAGGGTTTGGCCAAGTTGGGAACTCAGCTACCCCTCAGAGATGCCCACTCACTCAGGTACCTTTTGGGTCTCCCACAGTCCTTCTAAGCCACTGTTCTCCATCCTGCAACCTGGCTAATCCCAAGTCACCTTGCCTGCTAAGTCCCCTTTGAATCATCCTGATCCATCTCAGCAGCTCTGGTTTCTCTAGTTAATTCGGGATCAAGGACAAGAGGCTCCGTGAAAACTCCCAGATGCGCATCTGGTGGGGCCTAAGCTCCTAAACTGTTGCTTATGAATCAGTTCCGTGGGATTTTCTCTCTTCAAGCTGGGATCAGCTGAGTCCCACCCCCACCCCATTCCTGCACGCCGCACTCTACTGTGCCATGGAAGGTCTGTTCAGGCAAAAGCTGCTGAGGCTTTCTGTGAGGCAGGCAGTTTGTGGATGTGTGTGGAGCGGGGGTAGTGACTGACTAGGGGCCACTGTGTTCACAGGCACGGCATCTAGCTGTTGGGTGTGAAGGCAGGGCACTGGGCCTCCGCCCCACCTTCCTAGCTCCAGCTCAACCCTCTAGTCTGTGGATCCCGGCAGCACTGCTGCCCAGGCCCTCGTTCCCTTTAGCATCAGGCCTCCTGAGCAGTAGGGCCTGGCCCTCTTTGAGGCAATTCCTACTTCTCAACCACCTTATACTCCAAACTCAAAATTTTCTTCCTTCAACACCAAGGGCATATATTTCCCAAATACTTAATAAATGAATGAATGAACCCTTCCCAGGTTAACCTTGCCCTCCTTCTTGGCGTGCATTTGCTGTAATCAATAACATGTCCTAGCCTTGGTGGTTTGCTCCACCTATCTCTTGGACATACCTCCTTACAAGACCACAAGCTCCTCCAGGGCAGATACCAAGCCTTAGAATAAGGCTGAATGGGGTGGGGCAGCCTGGGGTTGTGTTTGCCTAGCATATGCGAGGACCTGGGTTCGATCCTCAGCACCACATTAAAAAATAAATAAAGGTATTGTGTCCAACTACAACTAAAAAATAAATATTTTTTTTAAAAAAATAAGTTTGGATCTTTCCCACACCCACTTGCTACCAAGGGACATTATGTGGAGTAGCATGTCCTCTGGAAGACACGCTCCAAGAATTAATTGGGAGTTCAGACAACCCATGTCAATCCCACAGCCCCTGGGTTAGTAAAGACCCAGGGCTGTTCAGTGAAGGGGACATCTCACTCCATGGCCCATGTGGAGGTGCAGCCAGAGTCACCCCTCCAGCCTGCTGAGGGGCCTCAGGTCCCTTCCTGTGTCTATTTCCTCATCCTCCCCCAAACTTCAAATATTCAAGGCAAAGTTGGGGTGTAAGTCCTCCCCCCACACACACCCCCTCCAGGCTTCCCTCTCAGGAAGGCAAGGTTACCTGGGACTGAAGAGGGAAAGCCAAAGTCGTTTCCGACAGCCACGCTGCTGGATTTGGATTTCTGGGACTCATATTTCAATCGATCTGGAAAAGGACCACATTCCTGTCAGGGCAGTTAGCTCCTGGGCTCTCCAAGGCATGCTGAGGTGACAGAGGCTGAACCCCCCAAATCACACACAAGTGCACACAAGAACACAAAATATGCAAGCTCACAACATGTTCTCACTCTTAAAGAACCAGAGACAGTGGGTTGGGGTTGTAGCTCAGTGGTAGAGCCCTTGCCTGGTATGTGTGAGGCACTGGGTTTGATTCTCAGCACCACATATAAATAAATGAATAAAATAAAGGTCCATCAACACCTAAAAATATATTTAAAAAAAAAAAAAAAGAACCAGTGATAAGCCAGGTGTGGTGGCACATACCTATCATCCCAGCTAATTGGGAGGCTGAGGCAGGAGAATTACAAGTTGCCAGTAACTTAGTGAGACCCTGTCTCAAGATAAAATTAAAGGATTGAGGGGGTATCTCAGTGGTAAAGCATCCCTGGGCTCAGTACCACAAAAAGGAAAAAAAAAAAAAAAAGAACCAGCAATAACAGAAACTGCGGTCGACAACCATTTGGAATGTGACAATGTCAGAATTCAAAGGTCCTTGAGATGGTAGAGTCCAATGCCCCTAATATGAAAGAAAAGGCCCTGAGGCCTCCACCAGCTTGGCTGAAGAGCCAGTGCTAGCCTTCAGAACCCGTGTTCTGACAGCACAACTTGCTCCTCCTTCACCGACATGGGTCAGTCATACACACAAGCATACACTCCCACACTGTGACCCTCACAAGACTACTTCCACAGCCCTTTCTTTATATATCACCCTAAACACCATGCTATCCTGAAAAGATAAGGCAGCCAGGCTGGGGAGCAGGGCACCCCACCCACCAAACACCCTAATGTGCTAACTAATGTCCTTCGTTCAGAGACCCTCCTACTCTGGCACCCATGGAACCAGTCACTCTGTTCCTGGGGCTCCAGACCCCTCATGTCTGCCCTGTGGCTGAGGCTTGGTGAGAAAGGCAGTGCTCTCGTCCCTGCTGCTGAATACAGAGCGGATGTGCAAGGGGAGGGAGAGGCCTACGTGGGCACACCCCTCTCCTCTGAGTCCCAAGGTTCCCCAGGCCTCTGGAGGCAGAATTCCGGCCTCCCCGACGATAACATGATGAAGGCCCTGCCTCATCAGCACAGAAAGCACCTGGCACCTTGGTCTCCATCCAAGCCCTTCCTGAGCCCCAAGGCTAAAGCCTTCGGTGCCTCAGCAGTGCCCACCTCTCTCCAGGGCGAGGAGGAAGTCACGGTTGCGCTGCAGCTCCTTCATGAACTCTTCATTCTGCAGGAAGAGCGCAATCCTCTCATCTTCCAGGTACTGCTTCCAGCGGCTGTCCTGGGCCCCAGGCCCGGCCACGGAGGGAGGGCCTCCCTCTCCACTCACAGGCTTGGAGCCCCCGGGATTACCCTGAGGAGAGGGCGAACATGCTGAATGCCCACTGACACATGTCCTTTCCCAGGATCCTCCAGTCCCACACCTCCCAACGGGACCTAACGGTCAGTCAAAATCCACAGGATCAGGTCAGAGCCCTTTCTGCAATGGAAGCAGAATGGTTTAAAAATGACTTTTCCTCCTGACCTTGGACCACCTCGCTCCTTCATCCACAACCAGAGTAGTCCTGAAAAGGATCTGCTGTTCAACAGCCCACACAGGAACTCTCCAACTCAAACCTCTTCTGCACCATCCGCCTCAAGGTGAGACCCACCCACCACAGGGGCACCTTGAGACATGTCAACACCTGGGGAGAAGCTGCCCCTGGGCCTTTCCCAAGAAAGGGGAAGGAGATACCTTGGCCCTCTGCCATTGACTGCCAATGGCTGTAGCCAGAAAGCCTCGCAAGCTCTCTCCCTCCCTGGGTCAAGCAGGAAACCTCCTGGCCCAGACAGGAAGTGAGGCTTTTGGTCCAGAGTTCTTTTCCTACAAACCCAGGGCAACAGAAATATCTCAGCCTGGGCTTAAAAACTAGGAAGCAAAACTGGCCGGCACAAATTGTGTGGGCAAAGAGAGACACTGGACAGGCCGGGGGCATGGAGGGTGGGGACAGATCATTACCTGTATGCTATCCAGCTGCTGGGGCAAGATGCGGAGAAAGTCATCAGGGAGGTTGCCCAGCAGTGGTGGGTTCCAGTTCCGATAGCGCCTCTGGCTTGCGGAGGGTCCAGAGCAGAGTACGTCAATCCTGGAGAATGGGAGGTGAGGGAGCAGTGAGGCCTAGCGACAGGGGCCCTAGCCCACCATAACAGATCCTCAAGCAGGTGGGATCCTAATCAGAGATTCCAGCACCTTCCACTGCCTCCGAACAAAGCTGGTACTCTTTCTCTCATCAGTAGCCTCAACTGACTCCCAGGCTATGGCTGGCAGTCATTTCTCTCCAATCACTCAGTGACTTCACAGTCCTAATGCAGATAGATATTGTGTGCATTAAGTGTGCTTCTGTGAATGGTTCCTAGAGAGGCAGGAGTTCTACCCTTCTGTGCTTATATCCCTAGCATCTAACACAGTGCCCAGCTCTGGGTAACAGGTATGGTCCAAATGAATAGATGCAAAAGCCACCGTCAGCCCGGCTTGCCTGCTCCTTGGTTTTTTGGGGAGGGGAGACTCCAGAACCCCCAGGGGCGGAGGGGAAGCAGATCTGAGCTCCCATTCTGGCTCAGCCACAAGCCAGCAGGTAGTCAAAACTCATGAGCTGGGTCTTGAACAACTTTCTGAGAAGTTGGAGATGTCAGTGGAAGATTCTTGTTCCCAGGGACGCTCAGGGGCCACTATTCCTAAGCAAGGTGTGTGGCGGGAGGTCTGTGCCAGGGCAGAGGCCAGCGGAGAGGCAGGGGGCATGAGAGGGAGAGAGACAAGGCCAGCGGTCTCCCTGACCCCCAGCCTCCTGCTCTGACGCCCATGCCTGAGGGCAGCCTGGAGCCGGGCCAGGAGCTCCCCACAGCTCTTCGGCAGCCTGCAGCGTGGCAACCGCAGGACACGTGTTCTGCTGAATCAGGGAAATGACACACTGCGAAGGGCTCGCTCGCTTGCTGGGGCTGGGGCTGGGGCCTGGCTTTGATTTGGCCTCCAGCTCCAGGAATCCCGCCCGCCCCCTCACTGGAGGGGAGCTTTTCCGGGCTGCAGCTGACTGTGGAAATAACTTCCTTTCCTTTTCTATTTTGGGCGGGTGGCCGGCGGGGGCAGGGGAGGGCGGGGGCGGCAGCAGACAGATAACCAGCTGCTAAGTGCTCGGTGGAGCTCGGTGCGCTCAGCCGGGAGCCAAGGGAACCCTGAGCGGCCATCCACCCTCTCGCTGCACCGGTGGCGAGGGAAGCCTCGGGGAAGAACCCGCATCATAACCGGGACTCCCCTTGTTAGGCCAGGATTCCTTCTACATCACTCCAGGACACCGTCGGCCCCCGGGGCAGAAGCTCCATTTCCTTCCTGGGACACAGGTGCCCACCTCTAACTCAACCACACCTCCAAGTCATCCAGGAAGGCTGCAGGGGGAAAGCCCAGAGTTCTATCTGGACCCCCCCTTTCCCCGGCCTTTTTTTCTTAGGTTCCCCAATTGGGTTGGGGGGCGTGGTCAAGGTGGAGGACCCCTGCATTGTTTTCCTTGTTGGGGTCCTGGAGGAAGGACAGACCAGCCCCCTCCTGGCCCTGGCCCTAGCAGAGATGAGGTCAGCCCACAACTGCTGGGTTGGGGAGGTGGGGGCATGGGCAGCCCAGGCAACGCCACTGTGGTCAGAAAGGAATGTCAGAAATGAGCTGAGAGGCAAATGAATAACTTCCAAGGCTGTAATTTCAGTGGAAAAACAACAGGCAGCAGCCTGTGTGGTGGGGTCCCCTGGGCTCCAGAGACTTGCAGACAGATGGAAGGAAGGACAGGCGAGGGGAAGGGGAAGGAGACTTGAGGCTGGGGAAGATCTCCTGGTGCTGAACCTCTAGTCCCCAAAACTAGACACCCCCCACATATACATTCCAGGTTAACTCACAAAAAGTCAAACCTGGCTGAGAAGGATTGCCAAGACGCGTCTCCCTGGCAGGGTTTTGGATGAAGCTGTA